ATTTTTATGCTCAACTAGCCTAAATCTGCCCCAAGGTTAGGCATGTGCTCTGGGACTGGCAGACCTCAGAAAGCTTTGGCTCATCAACCAGTACTCGTCAGGGGCTTTTCTACATTGGAATAATTTTTCTAGGCACGTGATCAGCAACTCTCTGTGTGGTGTTTGTTAGAATATATTAAATTTCACTTGGGAAGCAGTATTTACTATAGAGGAGCCACAGGCTCACTATAAAAGAAAAAGGGGGGAACAGGAATCTCATTTCCCATGCTTCTAGTCTCCGCCTAAGTCAGTTACAATGCTTTCAATAGATTTTGTTGTTTTAATTGTCTCCTTATTTTTCCTTTCCCACTATCCATCTACTGAGAAACAGAGAACATCATCTTTCTTCTCTTTATTGTTTGCAGTTATTTATTTACTTGCTTACTGTACTTGTAGGCTGCTCGTTCCTGGAGGCTCTGGGTGGCTAACAGCGTCAAGATAAAATAAAATAATACCCCAAGTACATATAAAAAACGACAAACTCAGAAAAGGTTAAAACTAAACATACAAATGCCACACATCTGCAAACTCTGCCTTCAGTTATAACATGCCATCCACCTCCTGTGCAAGATGGAAATGATATCTTCACCATTTTCCTGGAGTCCAAGAGGGACAAAGCTGACTGACTACCTGTCAGGAGGGAGTTCCAAAGAATGAGGGCAGCTACTCAAAAGCATGGTTTTGAGGCCCCACCATGGATGGGATTTGGAAGGAGTTGACCCTATCCGATCTTGTTAAACAGGCAGATGAATACAGGAGAAGGCAGACCCTCAGATAACTAGGTTCAGGGCCACACAGGGCTTTGAAGGGACCACCAGTATCTCGAATCACACCCCACAAGTTGACTGGCAACCAATGTAGTTCCCAATGCAGTGAGGTCACTCAAGTATATAGGGACATACCCATTACTGCTCAGGCTACTACATTCTGTAACTACTGTAGCTTCTGAATGCTTTTCAAGGACAGCACGTTGCTGTTATTCAGACAGGAGGTGACTAAAGCATGAGTGATGTGAGCAGAGCCTCCCAGTCCAGGGATAGTCACAACTGGCACACAAGATGTAGCTGTGCAAAAGCCTCCTAGTCACAGCTTCCACCTTGCCATTAAGCAGGAGCTGTGAGTCTAGAACTTGTTAGCCACCTCTAAGCAGGGAAGTACAGCCCCATTCAGATTCAAAGATGCAATTTCCCAGGAATCATTAGGTCCACAAACCCAATTCCACTCTATCTTGGAGGGATTCAAACTCTGTTCCTCCCCAACTTATCCCTGACAGCCTTCAGGCAATGGATCAGTATTTCCAGCGCATCACTCATTTGGCTCAGGGGCAAGATGTATAGCTGGATATCATTAATATACTGGTAATACCAAACTCTGTGCTGCCAGATGGCCTCTCCCAAAAGTTTCACCCAGATGTTAAAAAGGAGTAGAGAGAGGAAAAATGGTTTTGCCATCTTGCTCCTCTTTCTTTTATTCTAGGCTCATTCTGTTGTCTGTTGTTTCCATTATATTGTTTTTATACAATCTGGTGTGATGTGAGCCACCCAGCGTCATTTGGAGTCAGCCAGCATTAAGTAAAATTTAAAAAACCTCTCTGAAGCACTCCGCAGAGTTGAGGTCTTCTTTTCCACCACCACCCCCCACTGAAAATGCCCCTTCAGGAAGAAAGCCACTGCAAAATAGCTCTCTCCATTTCAATCCCTCAGAGACAGTCCAGAAGGATACTGTGGTTGATGGTATCTAAAGCCACTGAGAAATCAAAGAGGACCAGTCCTTGATCTTTCAATCTGCCAATCCCAGTCTCCCCCAATCCCATTCTTTCCATAGGTCATTCACAAGTGTGACCAATGCAGTTTCCATGCTGCATCCTGGTGTGAAAACTAACTGCAAGGGCCCAAATTATTCATTTCTGTCACCAGAGAGAGGGAAGCTCTTGCAAAATGGAAAATCTGAAGTTTAGTCTTAGCTGTCTCCCAGGGCTCCCCTCCAAGGTCCAAACCCAGCGATGTCCTCAAATTATCTTGCTGGGAGCAGCATCTAAGGGATCAGCACTAATGTAATCTAGCAATTAGACTATCTTAGGTCACTTTCTCATTCCAGCTGATAGTAAGACAACTAGGCACCCAGGAAGTATGTTCCTCCAAACCAGCCTCTAAAGTGATTCAGTCTCTGTAGTAGAGTGGCTGGAGACTCACAATTTAAAGCCAGACCTGTACATGCAGCTCATTTCAGATATGATCAGATCTCCTATAGCCTGCACAATACTTTTCTCAGAGGTCTCATCTGCTTCCGCTGCTGGTAGGGTCAGGCTTCTGCAAGACGTGGAGAAGTCGCCAAAATGGTGACTGCCAGAATGAGATTGCCCACAACTCCAGTGCCAATGGCTAACCAGCACTCCAGAACCTAGGACAAAGTTCCTGGGTCCAGGCAAGATCGGCAGCTCAGGTCACAGCACTATGCTCCTTCATAGCAAGCAGGCCAGCAAATGCCTCAACAGCTCTTCCAGCCACCTTACACTCACCTTTCCCCCAAACCTTCTGGCTGTGACACTATGATGGAATAAAAAGAAACAATAAGAGCATAAAATGACCTAAACAAATATATATTAAATATCTTCTTCCTGCACAAATATATTTGTGTAGAAGCATCTAATCTGATCACAAATGAACCTTTTATGAACAGGGCTAGACTTCTAGAGATTGTAATGATGATGCATCTATTTGTTGACTTCTATTGTTCTCTACAGGATTTCTGTGGTTTTAAAATTGTAGAAATGTTCTCTACAACATTCAGACTTGCAAGATTGATGTCAGCCTTGCGAGGTAGTCCACACAAGAAGCACATTCAGAAGTACTAGCTTGAACTTGATTGTAAGGTGACATTAACAGAATCTTGCAAGTCTGAAAGTACATCTCTCCCCTCCACCTTGCTTTTAGAGTCCAAGAAACTACAGACGGTCCCTTCTGAGACATTTGTCATACCCACATTTCTTCTGTGGGCTCAGCTGCCTCTTATTTGACCATTGTCTAGTCTGTGGCTCTTCCTTCTGTCTCCAAAGGTCATTCCCACATACCATTACATCAACAGGGTTTTTCAAACTGAATTTCACAGAACCCTAGAGTTAGAGGAAAGACTAAGTGCAAAAAAAAAAAAAAAACCTTCAACACAACCAATTTTCTATCACTAGAGCTTTCCCTCGATCAGGCATCCTGGGAATGTTTTCTTTTAACTGACAAATTCCATGATCTGAAAAAGTTTGAAAACCCATGTTCTGCAGCATTTAAAACAGTGCTGCAGTGATGATATTAGCCCTGTCATATAGTTACTTAGAATAAACTTCAGCATGATGGCAGTTAAGCAAGATCATCCGTAGCCTGAGAGGATGGATTTGTCCACCTGCTTTGGTCAGAACAGAACCATATTTACAGAATTTAGGTTCTATTCATTACCACTGCTAGTGGCTTCCATCACAAACTCAAACAATTACTATCTGGCTTTCAAAAGTAACTGCTCATCTTCAGTAATGCTTTGAACTGAAAACTGCGTAGATCATATCAATAACTTGCAAGTTATAAAACCATAAGCTTTTACCAGTTCGAGAAAGATTATCCTTCAGCACTAATACTTGATCCTGCATCTGTAATACATTCAGGTGAAACAAAAAATCCAGAAGTATACATCAGTAGTAATAATGTATATACTAACAGTGGCTTATCTATTTGTTTAATCAGTGACATCATCAAAGTAAACAAACCCCACGTGATGCAGATGTCACCAGGTCATGACCCTAACTGGATATGACGTGTATACCACCTCTCCATGTGATGCTGGAGTCACAAGGCCATGACACTTACCACACATGACATGTTGAACCTAATCCCATTAAGAAAAGGGTGACAGTCAACCCCAGAGTGCATGATTAGTTTAACTCCAAACCTAGCCCTAATTCCTATGTGGATTCAAACCAAAACTAAATAAAGTGAATAATTAACAGAACCCTAGGCTGCACTGTATTTAGGAAGCAAACCCTATTTTGTACATTGTGAAATAAATAATAGCCTAATGATGGTTTTAATTTTTATGGAGTTTTAAAATCAGTGCCTTGAATGCAGGAAAAAAAATTTTTTTAAACCACAGCAGCCCCAGAGTGATTAACTTAACCCTAACCCTAACCCCAACTCTAATCCTATATGGATTCAGATAAGGCCTAAGGGAAATGAAACCACAGACAGCTTTATCTTTTATAAAAACTAGACACATAGTTTGCAAATTTTAAAACTATTACTTTTATATTACATCCAAATGAAGTTATTATATGCAAGAGGTTCACAAAAGAAGATCCTGATTGCACTTTATGTGTCAGGATATAAGAGCCCTGGGGGATTAGGCTAATGATACATCAACTTCTGCATTCCTGGTCCTAGAATGGCCAGCAAGATACATTTAGGAAGCTCATAAACATTGACAGGCTGGCAGAAAGAAGGCCACCCAGCATCTCATTCAAGGCATATTGCCCAATTATCAAGAGCCCAATTCTCCTTAAATCCTACCAATCTCTTTTTAAAACCATCTCAGTTGGTATCCATCACCACAACTGATGGCAACACATTGTGCACTTAGGTATGCCTTCCAAAGCCTGGTACTTTCTAGATATCTTACAGCTGCAACTTCCAGAATTCCTCAGCCAATATGGACATTATCCCTACCTGCTGGGAATACCAGAAACTGCAGTTCCAAGCACAAATGGAAATACTTGCCTTAAGGAAAGCTAGTGTCAATTTCCCCCCTCTTTTTCTGAGCAGAAGGACTGCGTAAGTTGGGCACATGGATGTGCCTACGCAGTAGTCAAGCCACACCTCTCCAGCTTGCACAAAAGATCAGCAATTGGATGACCTGGCATTCTGTTGTCATTACTGCTAAACATATGGTACACTAACAGATGTCAACTAATGAATGCAATTGTATAAGATAATAAAACAAATGATTTATTAGCTCCATGTCTGCTGCTTGTTCGTTTCTAAGGGAACAGGATTCTGCAATCCGTAAATCTCAGAAGGTATGCCATACTGATATTTCTGCATTGGCCTAAATATATTTTCAGCATTTTCATGAATATAGAGAGCCAAAGCATGATTCAGCAGTACAATCCAAATATTGTTACAAGGGCCCATAGAAGAAGAAACAGTGCAGTCTTTCAGAAAGGCAAAGGCAAATCATTTAATCACGTGAAACCTGATACAAATATTTAGATTTGTTCTGCAAATTCACACCAGTTGTATCTGTTGTGTTTTACTTCCACATCACTTTTTTGTATAGCATTTCAAATGCACTGCATAAAGACGGCAATCAGCATGTATATGATTACTGCAGAGGAACTTAACAAAAAGAATTAACGTGTAAGAAGCACCATCTTCCCCAAAGCCCCTTTGCTGTGGATTATGTCTTTATGAGCCTCTGCCACTTTCTCCATTGGATATTCAGGGCCCAATACTGGTTTCAGCCAACCAGCTTCTATCCCCGCAAGAACTGCCATTGCGCATTCATGCATCTCTTCCTAAATGGAGAAGAGAACATTTAAAATCAAGGCAGACATCCTGTCCTTTCCAGAAATCAAACTTATGTGTTGATACTGTTGGGAATGTCAGCATTGATCTATTTTGTCCAGTGAAGCCTTATAAAAGCAAAGACCCAAACATTCCCTTCATTAGCCAGTCCAAAGCTCCTGAAAAGGAAGTAAATGTAAAGTCCCCCCAAATGGAAAAGTTCACACTGTATGACTAAATGAAAGACAAAACAGAAGAAAGGATAGAAGTTAAAGAAACTTCCAGAATTCTCCATATGGAGGCAATCAATTGAGACTGTGTAACAAAAAAGATAAACAGCTCAGCTTAACCTATTATCATGTCACATCATTTTAGTTTTTACCTTAGAGGCAGAAAATAAATGAACTCCTCTGATGCTTGATTCTTTCCCCATAGTATCCCTAGGGTTTATCTCAACTGGGCCACGACTACCCACAATCTGTCATAGAGAGGGATGAAAAGAAAATTATAAAATAAAATTCTTTATGGTAAGCCACTAATTAAAAAGTGGAGCTGCTTACTTACCATCACTCTTCCTCCATTTGACAGCAGTTGCAAGTCATTTGCAAGGTTGACATTGGCTAACATCTCTATTATCACATCTATGCCTTGGGCACCAGCAATTTCCTACACAATAAATAAATCAGCTGCATTGTGAAACCATGGAAGACTGGCAGATTTTGTCATTCATGAATTGTTACTGTTATTTTGTGGAGTCTTTGGTTCAATAGAGTCCTTCTATAGGTACTGTTATTTTCTATAACTTACTTTTAAAAATCAAAATATATACAGTATTGTTGCATTTATCTCTTACCCTACCCATATGTTAAGGGGGGTTAAACACATTTTATTTTAAACAAATTTTAAAAAGCAATCAGGGGTATCAAGTGCAGCAACTCTAGAAAAGAAAGATGACCAGGTGGGGAAGATAAGCTCCAGCTTCAGATGGATACAAATGGTCATTTATAATTCACATCATTCATATGAAAGATTCATAATTCATATGAAAGATTTACAAGCTTCTCATTCATGATAATAGGTACATTTTCAGTATAGTCTGATACGTAATCTTGAACCTACCCCAGCCCAACCATGTATTTTTTAACTTTAAAAAGTCCTGCAAAGTTTGCCACCAAACATTGCAACACACATTACATCATGTTGTAAATATGGAAAAAGTAGGGAGTGATCTAAACAAAAAATGAATGAGTAAGTTGGTATCAAAGACTGAGAGAAAGTTAGCATCTAAATATGTTGCCACCTGCAGTCCAAAGCAAACATATATTTATTCAAAAAGGGAGAAATGAAATGAATACATACCTTTAAGGTTATAATTGGAATAAAGCCCACATAATTCCACAAGATGTGTAAAACATAGTAGGACTGCAATCTAAACTTGCTTACCTAGAAGTTGAGTCCCCTTGAATTAAATGGAACTTATCTTTGAAAGGTTACAGGTGGGACAGCAGACTCAAATTACCTTAATCTCAGCCAAGTAATCTGTCTTCCTGTGATTAAATACTTTGCAAGCGCCATTTTTCAAAACTAGGTTCATTCCTTTCTCTGTCCCGGCTGTGCCCCAAACCTTCAAACCATAAGCTCTTGCTATTTGGCATGCTGCTGTTCCAACCTAAGAAACAGAGAGGGAAAGCAAAGTAGAGAAGATAAGTAGTAGTAAAGTTCCCAGCATAATAGTATCATGACAACCGTGCATGGGAGACATTCAGTCACATAGCATTAACCTCTTAACTATTACTATACTTGTTATAATATTCAGTGTGTTTATAGCTCACCCTTACTTGATACCATCTGCATGAGACAATCTACTCTTTCTCTTAACAATAGTGCAAACATCATCCCTGAAACAAAAGCAGGCAAATGAATAATTAAATCAACCATAAGGGTATACTATTATTCTTTTTCAGATAGTGTGTAAAATCTATCTGCTCAATTGCCATTATAATGCAACCATTCCCTCTTCAAATTTCCAAGGTATCAGCTTTAAGCTACTCCTTAAATACTACTCTAAGCAATTCAGAGACCCCATACTTTTCAATAAAGGAGACGCATTTCCAAGCAACACATTTCCAAGTGTCTTTTTTAATGCTTAAGAAGTTGCTAGCAGAGGACCACTTTGTTGCAACCCTTAATGCATTATGGGGGTACTATAGGATAAGCACTAAGCATATTGTATGTGAAATGTATCAGATTAGTTGAAGCCATTAAATAATTTGAAATCAAATGTCATTCTACTTCACATAATAGGATGGGCAAACTAGAAATGTGTTTGAGAAAAATTACACAAAGTTCAGAATGAATATGATCCAATATTTAAGTGTCATGGAAAGATAAGACAAATCAAGAAAAAGGGAATGGGCTATTTGTTTGTTAAGTGTGTGCAGGAAGGTATTTGGCAGAATTCTGGTTTAAAGGTACTAAAGGTAACAGTGGACAAATTTTGGGAACTACAGTATGGCTTTTTGCTGGTCACAGGGTACGCAGGCCAGGTTTTCGCTCTTCAGCAGGTGGTGAGAAATGTGTGGATTTCTTTATAGTTGCATACAAATCCTAGCAAAAGGGTTATGGGTAGTGTGATCTGTTGCATGGAATGAATATTTGTCAAATGAAGTGAAGATAGCTGTGTATGAAGTATGATTCTGCCCACCTGAGAGTTGAGTATGTCAGGGGAAAAAAGCTGAACGCAGGTGAAATGGGCTACTGAAAGACTATGTTTTGTAAAACAAGAAGAATCAAGAATGGATCAGGGCTGAACAAATATGGGCTGAATACAAAAGTAAGTGACTGGTACAAAAGAAGAAAACTGAGATGATCTTGTCAGACAGAAGTATAAATAAGAATGAAATTGGAAAAAATAAAGGATGAGTGACTGAATTAAGCGGCAGAGGCAGATCGAGAAGCTGTAATTGGATAAAGTTAATGAGAACCTCAACAAGAGAGAGGTGAGAAGCTAAGGAACAAAAGGCAACTTGTGAGCCTGTGTACAGGTGAAAAAAATAATAATTTGCAAGGATAGAAAAATACATATAGATATAGTGAATGGTGCCTGTGTAAACTACATTTAGGTACTATACTTTTCCTGCCCTTTTTCTTATCTCATGCTTCTTTTGGGGTTGGGGCTTAATAGTCATTATGCTTTTTCTGCACTCTGTGTAATATGGCTTACCCTGAAAGGGAATATCAACCCCCTTAAGAACATGGTAAATCTTCCCTGTACATACATACATACATGCATGTGTCAGAATCCTCGCAAGATTTTATAATAGATTATTAGATGGCTAGTTTAAAAAGTGGCTTTTTACATGCTGCGGTTCTGCCATTGTAAAAGGGGGGGCGGGGAGTAGGAATGAGAAACCGTTTAAAGTAGATGGCTCCTTATCACAAGCTCTGGCATGCTCAAGGTCATACCAGCAAGGGAATCAGAGGACCAAAAAATAAGGGCGATGGGGGGGGGGGGAAAGTAAGAAAAACAGCTTTTGGCGCGCTTTTGCTCAGTCTTAGCAATGCTTTGGATCTGTACACTTATTCTCAAT